AATCATTCGGCCAAAAAATGTTTATCAAGGCTAAAACGACATCTTCAGAAGATGCAAAGCATTCCGAGACTATGAGAAAATTGTTCAAAGTGAATTTCAAAAGAGAACGGGAAGTTAGGTTACGTATGAAAACCCTGATTCCTGAATAATGGGAGAGAATGATCTTTAATGATTGAAATGTGTCCCAAGACAAAAATACATAGAATTTGAAGCCCAAATTTGGTAGAAGGCAAGCTAAGACATAAAAGAAGAGAGATGTTAAAAAAGAAAAATTTTTCATAGAAGAAAATTTGGGATAAAATTAAGGAAAACTGATAGACATATAGATAAGTCTATAACGGCTTGCTATTTAGGGCTTATGGGCTTAAGTGGGCCTAAAGGCGTCTAATGGGCTCTATTTTAGCTCAATTTTAGAGTTAAATAGAAAAAAAGATGGATAAGGATGAGGAAGCAAATGGAAGATTGTGGAAGAATCTAGAATAAGAATGAAATAACATGATGAAAGATGACAACTTTTTAGATAAAATGAGATCATGAAGAGTGATAACTTTTAGATAAAGTGACATAACAAAATGTGGCAACCTTTTGATGAAGTTGCATGGTGGAAGGGTGGGAAAGTTTCTCTCGTGGCTCCCCAATCCTAAAAATAGGAGATGAGAAAATGGAGGAAGAGACATTATGGATGAGAGAAAAATAGTGAGCAGCATAGAAATGAATGAAGAAGGAGTATGAAGGGTATGATTTTTTAAGAGTATTGTGAGGATTATAGATAAAAACCTTGGAGAAATTCTCCTTGCATGCTCTAATTATGAGAAACCAATTGAAGATCAAACAAAAAATTAAGTGTTAATGGGTTATATATACATATATATAGTAATAATATATTCAACAGATCAAATGTATAAAAGAAAGAAGGAGACAGTGTTGCTACACATTGGAGCTTATAGTGAAAATTTAGTAAAGAAGGTTACTATTGTTTCTATACTGAGAAATTTTGATGTAAACCATGTTTAGCTTTGTAATATAAGCTATATTTTAGAGAATGATGAGATAGTTATTATTGATAGTTTACAGAGGTTTCTTGGGTCTCTTGGGGTAAGTCCTTTCCATAGTTTTGATCATAACGATCTCTTTTTTACAAATCAATTTTTTTTTAATAAGAGCTACAAAATAACATATAAAATGAGAGGATACTCTAAAGTGATTCCCTCTTAAATAATAAGTTCAAAATTATCAAAGGTCTCTTCATCCAAAAGTACCAATAAACCACAAGAGAGGAACAAATTAAAGAGAGAATCGTGAAAAGTTACTTATGAAGTTTTAACTTATAGATTCAACCAAAATTTGTGGTTAAATTATTTCCTTGTAAACTTGATATTTGTGAATCACTTGTAAGAAAAGAACTTATGAGCCTAATAGTAATAAGTTTAGAGATTGTATTTAAAATATTAAAAAGGTGTTATTCCGAGTTTTATGAGAGCCTTAGTTTAGGAAAATTGTTCTATCTAAGCTAATGAAAATATAGTAAGTAGTTTTTATATAAGCCATTGAAAATGTAGTTTTTTTACTTTTATCTTAGCAATTGAAAACGTGATAAAAGACCATTTTCAAGAAATAAAGTAAATCTAATATAACTCAGCAATGGTATCAATAATAAGCTTATGTTTGAGCCATAATACGGAATTTCTTTACCATTGATGATACCAAAAGTTCTAGAAAATTCATAAAACTAATTTTATTTATATTCAGAAAATTTCATTCTCTCTCATCTCTTCTGCTTGATTCCTCTCAAATAGGAGGATTTGGGTTTATGATTTATTTATATATCTTAAATATAAGTCGTACGATCGGTTTTAACAAAGATTGGATCGTTGGATTGATCGGGGCCATTTTTACCTTTGTATGTGCAAAAATAACGCTTAGCCATTCAGTTTTTCCCCTTGAACTATGACGTCTAATCTACGATTTCATTAATGGCTTTTTGGTCATTTTAAATTTCCTTAAATTTTGGCTGTTAGATCATTTTAGGCAGGATGCAATCTGGACCATCCATTTGACTTTTAGTCATGAAAGGATTTGGGTCGTTCAATGAGACAATATGTGCGCGAATTGATTTTGGTCGTTCGATCTAGCCTACGAACAACAGGGGTGAACTTTGCTTCAGACACTACTTATTTTTTCTTCCTTGAAGAGGGCTCTGATGCTTTTCCCCACAAATAGTCTTCTCCAACTGCAGTAATTTTTATATAACAGGGACCTGAATCACATTAGGAAAATAGCCCCAGAAAATTATATAACCATAAATGAACTTCAGTAAAATAGTCATTAAACCACTATTATGACAACTCTATCCACGGTAGGCGAGAACCTTTCCACTACGAACTCATATTTTTCCTATTTCTAGTGATTATCCATTATATATGTATACATATATATATACACACACACACATGCCAGGCAGTCTTTATTATATAGTATATATGTGCTTTTGTATGTGTGTGTGTGCATATATAAATATGACTATGTATATTTATGGACTTAGAATTTTTAGACCTAGTATTGGATGTCATCCGGAGATATCCTTATACTGAAAGACATGGTAATACAGATAAATGTGTTATATGCTGCGACGACTTTGCACCTAGAGAAATTTTGCAAAGACTACCTATTTGTGACCATACTTATCATTCTAGATGCATTAGTATATGGTTCTCAAGTGGCATATACTCATGTCCAGTTTTTAGGGAAGACTATACTAATTACAAAACATAATTATCTATAGATAAGGTTTTATAGATATAGGAACTACCTAGAGTATGTATATATATAGTGAGAGTAAAGTTGACAACTTAACAAATGATGTACTGCATCTTAAAATGTTTAGCCCACTCTAATATATTTGTGTGTGATATATAAATGTATAATTATGAACCAAGCTTTCTTTTTATTATGTACATAATCAAATAGGTCCTGATTTTTTATTTAACTCAAACCCATTAAATATGTTTAGTCCATTCTTATGTATTGTGGGTGTGATATATAATATATAACTATATAATTATAAACACAGTTTTCTTTTTATTATGTCCAAAATCAAATAAGGTCCATAATTTATTTAGCCCATATTTTTTTTTTACTTATAAACCCAGCCTCAACCTAGTTAAACTAAGCGGCATCCATTTTGTTGTCTTTATTTGCTCCATTAAGTTAGAGAAAAAAAAATTCACAGACAAGAGTTTTTTGGAGAATGGAGAGAGAGAGAGAGGGAAGGACGAACAGGGAGGGATAGAGTTGCAATAGCAAGAAGAAAAAGAGTGTGAGAATATAACTAGAGATACATCAAGTTAATCAAGACTTAAATTACTTCGAACTCTTATATATACTTTTAACTATTTTAGTCATTTAAAAAAATTTAAAAATCTGGGACTATTTTTTTAATAAAATACACAATTACAATTACAAAAAAAAGTATCAAAATTTGAACAGTAAAATAATGTTATGTCTTTAATATAATTCTTATAGTGTGAAATGAGCAGATTTACTATGATTCATATAATTATTTTTTAGTTTGTTTATTTATTATACATTCTGTAATTATAATCATACTAAAACTAATTAATTAATTTTTTTTATCAAATTTCAAATAAAATTATATTAACTTAGAAAAATTTGGTGGCATTAAAGTCAACCAAGAAAACAAACCATCTACACCTACAACAAACCTTTAAATATGAAAAGTAAAACTAACTCAAAAAAATTTACATGACAGATAATAAATAATGAGAAAGAGTTACCAAGGTAAAAGCAACATTTTGATTGAAAAGAAAACTTATTGGTTTAAGGATATTAGAAAACTTATGTTAGATTCAAATCAAGTAAAACTTTTAGCTATTAAAGAAATATTCTTTATTATTGTTAATAGTCTAGTTGAAGGTGTTGGACTTTTTATGGTGGATAGTGTCTTTTGGGTTGCGGATGATGCATTTTTATGGAAGATCAATTCACCTACCAATAAAATTTAGTTAAGAACACTGAAAAATATAAATTTTATGAAAAGATAAAAGTCAATAGTGTATAATATTATAGTAGATGAGTATGCAAAGATAAAAGTCAATATAGTTTTGAATTTATATATGTGGATATCATTATCTTATTTATTTTATTTCATCTCATCTTTTCAGCACAAAAATTTTATAAAAGATACTCGTTTTGTAACATCATGATGTTTATATGAATAAATTTTTACTAAAATTTTATTTATGCATTAAGTGCATTTTGGAAATAAAAGGAAATCCCATGTAAATTGCTCTTAATGTTGTTCTCTTCTCTCCCTTACTCTTGTTTTAATTACTTGTTTGAATTTATTTAAGTTGTATTACAATTTAATTTTGGTTAATTACATTATGACCTATAATGTTAATATCTGAAATGCATAACTGAAGTTAATATCAACATTTGCTAACTTATATCAATGACAGAAGCAACATATAGGTCAATTGTTAAAGCTTAAAAGTTGGGAGATTATCATAATATGCTTAAAATAGGAATAAATATAACAAACCTAATTCACCCTTCTCTTGGGTTACGTTGCCTATTCAAAACAAGAGATTTTGATTGAAAAATTGAATATATTAAATTAATAAACTATCATATTAACATAATATAAATGTATGATATATATTTAATTATTTAATATTCTTAATTAAATATATAATATAAAATTAAAAAATGTTAATATATTTAATTTTTTTTGTTTGTTTTAGAATCGAAAAACCGACTAATGCAACTTACATTTAACCAATTAAATCAAATACATCAAATAAACTTAACTAATTTCTAAATCCATTCGGTTTTTGTAGTTTTATCAATTCAAATTCAAACTCGATCCATCTTACAAGTTTATAGGAGCCCATTTAACTAGATGGAAAAGTGCCTTTTTTTAAGGCCCGGCCCATAGAACTTGATTTCTTTTTTTCCTTTTTTAATCTGACGAACTCTTTGCCGCTCTCTATTTCACTCTCCCAATTCTCTCCTTCACGATCAAACGCCGCCGGTTTCTTCTCTCTCCGTCGTCTAAAGTCTTTACCTCTCTCGCCGACTGGAGTGGCGTTCCGATCGTTCTGTCTTCCTTAATATCAGTAAGTCATTTGTTGTCTCTGAAATTTCTTATATACTTCAACGAGTTTTGCTCTTTTCTGGTCGAATTAGATATGTTTTCCTGTAAATTGCTTTTCTATTTTGTGTATCAAGTTTTCTTTGTGAAACTGCTGGCGAGGAAGTAGTACGACCCGCATAGAGAGCAGAAAACGCACTCTCTTTCTCGAGATTCTCTCTCTCTCTCTCTCTCTCTCTCTCTCTCTCTCTCTCTCTTTCTGTGCAATCTTCTGTTTAGTTAATAGCTTGGGGCATCTCTTTGTCAGCGTTTTTTCAGATCAATATGGCCGCGAGAGCATCAGCGAAATATTTCAGAGAATTTCTGTTCAGAAGGACAACTTCAAGTCCTCTTGGAGCTTCCAGACATTGCTCTTCTGCTGCTACACCAGCTCCCAAAGTTCCTCATTCTTCGAAGAAAGTAAGTTCTCTCTCTATATTACATTGTGACATATGCAAGTTCTTATTAATCCTTTGAACAACTAAAAATTCTGTTAAAGTACTCTTAACAACCAAAACGAGCTTCCTCTGTGCATCTGAATGCATCTTGTATTGGGTTTCACCTTTGTAGCATCAAGTCCTTTCTTTAGCATTCATGTTCCCATCATTCCTCATTGGAATTATCAAAGGGAACACTAAAGCTTTCGTTCCCTTCACTATCTCCCGGATTATCTTGATGGAGAAGAAAAAAGCACCCTTGCAATGCTTTGTTCTCCCAATGCTTTTGGATTTCTGGATAAACTATTGTGAGTAGAGGAGACTTAGTGGACGTGATCAATTTTCTTATAGCACTTCTTTTCTTTACTCTCTGTATATACGCGTCATCCCCTATATGCCTTTTCCTTTTTCAAGAACAAAATAATTCACAAGGCACCAAGGGAGTGCCACCCATCTACCACTTCTATATAGGTGTTATCTATCTGTTTATTAAGGGAAGACAATTTCTGAGTCCATTTCTCTTGGCAAAACTTTGTTCCTGGGTTGAGCGAGCTAAGAAAATATAGCACTGTAGATAAACATCAAAGAAAGATGTAAGCAAGTGTAAAAGAGGAATGGAGTTAAGCACCTTGTGAACATTAGTTTTGTTCTCGGGTCAAAAGGAATCAAAATTAAGCAAGCTTAACGATAGCTTTCCATACAGTTCATGCCACAGCATTTATTTAACTTATGGTTTGATTCCAAGTATGGCAATTAAGGTAGGGAGAAGCAATGAGATAGGCATCTTGAGTTTAAAGTGACTTGAAAACTGCCTTTACTGCTAATATTTTCTTTTAAAGGAAAAGAGGCCTCTATTCTAGGTACATTATCAGCAGACTTTTGTTGTAATTCTTTCCTTCAGTAAGATTGTTATTTGAGGTTTAATAGATATGACTTCACAAAGATATGGGTTTTACTTTGTGGAAGCACTAGCAGATATTGATTGTTAACTTCTTGCTTTTAATATATTACTATTCTTTTGATTCTAAGGGGCTAGTAATTGTCGTATGGAGCCAGTATATGTGCATGCTACTGTTTGACTAACTGTTGTTGATTTTTGGCTTTCTTTATGTGGATGGGTATTTATTTTCTTCTCCTTTAAAAATGGGTGTTTTAATCGATTATCTTAGCAGCTTGATTTTATTATTTGCCTCATTGAGAGTCTAGATTGATTTTGATATGTTTACATCTGAAAGTCGTCTTTGGATATTTGCCTACAAAGACTATTACTTGGTGATGGTGGGAATACAAATGGTTCAATTCTTCCTATAATATTACTTTACATGTTGCTGCTTACCTGCTAGTCATGCCAATCCATCTAGCATTGATGGGATGGTTGCTGGTGTGCATGAATGTATATTGTCATTGAAAGGATTACAGTTTCCTAATTTATTTTCTTTCTGGTTTATTGTCTATAGTTCCATAATTTACATCGATTACATTTTGCATTCTGATGGCTTATATTTGCTGGCTTACAGCAATTACACTTTTAATTTCTAATAATTTTGGTTATCAGAAATCGCAAAAGTATGTGCAGATATTGTTGTTGTGATGGAGGAGCACCCTATGTGGGATGAATTTCTCCAACCTTGTACAAAGCTGGAGAAAAGAATAATCTCTTAATGCTTAAATATTGTTTTGGTTGCATTTTCTAGGCCTTTTTCTATCATGAGATTTTTGAATTGTGTTAGAAATAATTTCTATCCACGAGTTATATTGAAACTCTAGTGTCTCTAGTGGAAATTCATAAGGGTGAAACATTGTTATCTAATTCTGATTTTAAAGAATTTAATGGAGGAAATAATGCTTCTGCTTATCATTTCCATTCACCAAAGGTGTGTATATATACAATATAAATTCTAACAAACTCCTAACAAAATTATGGGGAGGAGGAAATAACAAAATTGGTTATTCTCTACCAATTTTGTGACTGTCACCGTTTACAGCAGAAAACAGAAAATGTATAGTTAATATACTTATTTTAAACAAAATGAAAATAACTAGAAAAATAAACCTAACTGATTTGGAATGTATTCCCTTATTTTCTACACTCCCCCTCAATCTAGTTTACATATATGTTTAGTAAATCTAGATTGGATATTATGTCATCAAAGTTTCTTTTAGGTATAGCTTTTGTTAGATTATCCGCAGTCTGTTGATTCTTGGAATGTGCATCAGAGTAATAGTTCCATCTTCCAATTTTTCATTGATAAAATGGCGGTCGATCTCACATATTTAGTTCTGTCATGGTGTACTGGGTTTTTGGCCATACTAATAGTTGATTGGTTGTCACACCATACTTTCATAAGTATATTGTTAAGGGTTTTTAATTCTTCAAGTATCCTCTTCAACCATTCACCTTCACAAATACCATGAGCAAGCGCTCTAAATTCATATTCTGCATTGTGCGAGACACAACTAACTGTTTCTTGCTTCTCCAGGTAATCAGGTTATCCCAAACATAGGTACAATATCCTGATGTAGATCTTCTGTCATCTGTAAACTCTGCCCAATCTGCATCAGTGTAAATTTCAACACCTCTTCTTTCTGTCTTCTGAAAGAACAATCCTTATCCTGTAGTCATTTTGAGATACCTTAGAATTCAATACACAGCTCTTATGTGATTTTTAGTTAGCTGATTCATGAACTGACTTACTGTACTCACTGCAAAACTGATGTCTAGTCTTGTATATGCTAAGTAGATAAGTTTCTCAACAAGTCTTTGGTATCTTCTTTTGTCAACCATTTTATCACTGATTCTGGATCCAAATTTGATAACTGAATCCATCAGGGTGTCAACGAGCTTGCTTCCTAGCATCCCAATCTCCTTTAGGAGATCCAAAACGTACTTTCGTTGAGATACTGAAATTCCCTTTTGGGATCTAGCCACTTCCATACGGAAGAAGTATTTCAGTACCCCAAGATCTTTTATTTCAAATTCTCTGGTCAGGAATTTTTTAAATTTCTGAATCTTCTCAAGGTGATTTCCTGTAAGAATGATATCATCAACATATACAATCAAAATAGTTTTCTTACCTGAGATGTAGTGTTTAACAAACAGTGTATGATCGGATTGACATTGTTCATATCTTTCATATTTTACGGCTCTTGTGAGTCTATCAAATCATGCCATTGGAGATTGAGGGTAGGCCATAGAGTGATTTC